AAAAAAAAAAAAAGAAATAAAGTCAAGGTTCCCACAACTCTCTTTTTAAAATTTTACTGATCCACTTCAAACACTTGCCTTTGTTAAATGAATTTTTTATACTTCTCGTTCTCTTTAAATCTAATGAACACTTAGAAATCCATTTTAGTTTTATGTTGCCTCCACCGCTAAAATCCTTCCACCTTATTGCTGGCTGGCCTTTGTATAAAGCCTGGGAACACACCTTAGCAAAACCTAAAAGAAACTTTCTTCATGAATAGTAAGAATGAAGACCTTTTGAAAGCGCTAAAATAAGTATAACTGAGCTGGTTCATTTGAAGACATAGCTAATGCTCAAATGAAAAGTTCTTCAATAGTAACCTTTAGCTGCAAGGAAAATTCACCGAAAAAGATGCCAAAGCAATAAACAAAGTGTCGCCACTAGCATTACAAATGACAAAAGAAAAAGTAACAGAGAAATCGATACCTGCAAAATGATCAGCGCCTCTGGCAAGGAAAACCAGGATAACAACTGAAGCTTTTAAAAAAGCTTCGCCGATCAACTTCTCAATAGTACGAGTTGTTGTCCACAAAGATTTCTCTTTAGCTATGCGGATATTCTCTTTACACGACTTGGCAAGGAAGAACTGCGCCCTATGCATTAAAGCCTCTATTTCTACAGATTCTGAAAAAAAAGGTTCCAACAGGCAGAAGTTGTACGCTCCTATTCAATGACTTTACTTAATGGAGGAAAACGCCTTTAACTGGAACTAGGACTCTTTACCTCCACATAAAACTGGAGCCGGAGGTCTATATCTAAGAGGGGATGAAGAAGATTGCCGTCGTTGTTTATTAACTTTTACAGGTTTATTCACAGGTCCTTCTGATTTCGAACGAATACACCATTCTTTCTCTGACCATAACGCTAATTAGAGAATTGTATGGAAAAAGGAGAATTAAATTAATGGGCTAAATTCATACTTTTAAAAACAGAAAACCATCTAAAAAATGAGCAAATGAAAAACAGAATATTCATATCAATATTCTGTGAAAAAAACTTAAACGATTCAGACCGAAAGCCACAAACCGTGCCGTACAAATTCAATTTAAACCATACCTCGTATTTCCTCATCGCAACATTCATCCTGAATGATTAAGTCATCCGTGTCCAATTCTAAAATATCATCCGCATTGCTATCGTCGTAAACCAAATCCCGATCCGGAGTATGGTGAGAATGATGTGAGGAGCCGTTTATCGAATTCCCGTTGCATTTCTGTTTCGACGTTTTAATACTAGTCACTTCACTTTTTTCAACATGTTCAGGGTCGTTTTTCACTTCACTTATCGCGTCATTTGCATCATCGTTGGGATCTACAGCTGCGTATAGGTTTTGAAACCAACAAATTGAGTTGACTCAGAGTCGTCAAATGTCGTATTAGGAGTGCTACATAGAAGGAAAGGCGCTTCGCTAAACTAGGCGAAGAAAAACTGTTTCAAAAAAGCTGGAGAAGGTACTGCTTATTAAGAATGATTGGAAGTTAAAAGAAGTTTCAGAAGTTCCCATTGATATTAATATACCGTTTATTTCGTTCATCCTTTAGCTGAAATAAGGCGACCAATTTAACCAAAAGTTTTCTCAATTTATCCCATCACAGGTAAACAAAGGATGAGATAAAAAGTGGAAAATCATATAAGAAAGTCCCAATTAATCAAATCCTTCCTAATTAACAAAGGGCCAAATAATTTTAAGATACACAAAGTTCAATCAAACGTCTTTGCCAAATCCCTCTTTTTAAAAACCTCACCACTTTAAACACCATTTCAATAAGAAAAGAACAGGCTATTATAAAACCCGAATCTAACTGGTCTTGAAAATAAAATACTGAGGACAAACAGAAACCCGTAAAAGAAACTAGTAATTTTAAAATGAAACTAGAAATAAAAAGCGAAAGAGCCTAAAGAACAAAAAAAACTGCAGTTCTTATTCAGCTAGGAAAAAACTTCCCTTCTTACTGCAGAATAGAAAGTTCAAAGACACGGTAGGCAGAAATTGAGATCCTAATTATTAAGTTGGCTAACAGCAAAAGATGAAAGACTGACGTAAAAAAACTCTAAAAATAGTCAATGGTACAATAGCGGTTCTTCAGCGCTCAACATGTTAAACATCAATTTAAATAAATTTACTAGCATCTTTCAGCAGAGTCGTCACCTTAAAAAAAAAGAAATGGAAGTGAAAGTGACCACTAGCTGACGGCTGAATTCTCGAAATCATTTTCCGGAACTCGGTCTTTCCTCACAAAAGTAGTGACAGATAAATGCAATATAATTTTTGTCTTCGATTCATCGTAATTGTCTTTAAGAAACATCTAATTTTCTACGTACAAGAGGTCAAACACAAACCATAAAAAGTTGGACCGCCCAATAGAAAACAATCTCCTTTTGACTTTCCGGCCTCATCCTCACTCATGTTCAACCTGCAAAGTTAAAGAATAACAATTATACAAAAAGCTATAAATTCTCCGCAAGGAAAGCCAACATTTTGCAAAACTTTTTGACGCATCATTGAAAAAAAGTAAAAATAAGCGATTTTCCGACACCCCCCAAACGAGAGTACTGAAATTAAAGACAATCTCACTTTTTTACTGCCAAGATGGCAACTATTGGCAGCAATAGCTAAAAAGAAAATTTGAAAACTTCAAAAAAACCTACCAGAAAAATCTTGACAAATTATTTAGTTTGTAGATGACACAGGAAAATCGAACGAATTATAACACAAAAGTATAACAACGCATTATAAGTCGTAACTCAAAGCTTCATTGTATACCTGAAATCTCCTGAAGTCTATGAATTCACTGTGACAGCATCAATAACAGCAAAAACAAAGGAATTTTCTAATCCGAAACTCTATCTTACTCTACAAGCTATTAGAGCAGAGGCATACAAAAAAACATGAAACCATTCAAAAAGGAGACAGCCGAGAAGAAAAAGACAGCCTAAAATATAAAAATGAAACTACAAAAGAATTTTAGAGAAACTTCCCGAGAAATAATAAAAGCTTTGAAAGAACTATTTGCTACATTTACAGAAGCTCAATACAAAAACCAAAAAAATTCTAACCTTCTGTCATCATCTTTCTCTTTAAAAAAAACAAAAACATTCTTGCAATAAAGACAAAAAATGGCAAAGAACGTCTGATTTATAAAACTATACGTCTAAAGCGCTGACTCAGAGACACGATTCAACCACTTTTAACCACTATAAATATGTTTTAAAAAATTATTTTTGCTCCTTTCCTTTTACGAGAAACATCACATAAATTAGTTATAAATATAGTTATTGCACAGGAGTTGGGTTTGTATTCTACAACAATTTAAGCTATATTTTGACTCACTTTTGAAAAATAGGTCCCAGAAGACCAGGTCGCTGATTAAATAATTGAGAAATATGCTGTTCTACGGAAAAGAGGTGCTCGCCAACCACTGTTTCCGTATTGCCTATCGTCAGAACTGTCAAAAAATCATCCAGATACCACAACTTGACGTCTCCTGAAGAATAGCGTTTAAATTTAGTAAGTATTGGACTATCTGTGTGAAGTTAAAAGAATGGTCTATCAAAAAAAAAAAAAAGCAAAACTACGACAAAAATCATACATTAGGTGGTGTACAGCTTAAAAAAAGCAGTGCAGAAGAAAGCAATGTCTTATAAATGACGTCAAATTGGCAAATAACTGAACAGTTATCAATGTTACATTTCAAGATTAAAATTCTACAGTTTGATCTACATACGATCTGAAAGCAACAATTTTTATTGCAAAAGTCCAAAATTAATCAATGTTAACCTTTAAAGCAATCTAATTTCCTTAAATGAATTAATTTTTAAACAAAAAATAAACCTAAATTGGAAACATGAAAACCAAAATAACAAATTAAACGAAGCATAAAACCAAATGAAATGATTATGGGTAATCAAGTGGTATAAAATCTAAACTAGCAGTTAGAACAGTTAATGTAATACTTTCGAGCAACATAAACAGCTTGAAATAAATCAACTGAAAGAAAAAAAAAATAAGAAACCAACCCAGTTCAACGCAAAAAAAAAAAAAAAAAATACATAAATAAACACCAATAAAATACTGTCTCTGCAGCAGCCGCGGTAACAGCACCAATTCAAAGGGTGTCAGTAAATCTGTCAATATATAAAGCAATAGGGAAAAAAATTAATGCTTTGGTAAAGGAGTGAAAAAAAGAAATCCTGTGTAGAGCAGTAAGATAACGCTAAAAGAGTAGACAAATAAAACGGGTACGTGGAAGAAACATCGCACAACCAACATCCAAACGCAACGGGGACGTCTAATCACTACAACTACTATCAAACCAACCAATGCCCATTAGGTGTTGTTCTGTCGATGTTTTCGAACGATGACCACTCAACAAACACGAATATGCTTGAAACAACAATAATAAAAAACAAAAAAAAAAAGCCAGTTTTTTTATAGCAGAAGATAAAGTGCAATGATCAAAAACAATAAAAGCCATAAATAACGAAT